TAGAACAGAAAGTGCATGATAAGCTAGTGCTTGACTAAAGTTTGACTACAAAAGATATATTTGAGGTTTTGGCCTTCTGAACAACTTGGCATAGTGTCTTTCCCTTTGCTGCTGAAAAAGAAGATTCAAAAGGAAAAAGGTACTTTGACTTCTAAGGACTGTTTCTTCTGGGCTGGCTGGAAATTCATTGAAATTGTAGCACTTGAGGGCAGTGCCTATGGCTCAAAGGAGTAGGGCACTTGCCCCATATGCCGGAGGTGGCGGGTTCAAACCCAGCCCTAGCCAAAAACTGCAAAAAAAAAAAAAAAAAAAAATTGTAGCACTTGAATTAGAAATAAATCGGGTTATTTAGTGTTTGGAATACGGCAGTTCACAAGGATAAATAATCTTTTTACTCATATCGTAATATCAGCTGTGGAGGACCCTAGAGTGCTCAGATAAGTGTTATGTATTCGGTTTGATTTTTCTAAGACAGATTTTTCAATACGGACTTGCTATTACGAGAATATTGAGGCATGAAATTTGTATCTCTAGGAAGAGGAAAGGCCATCAAAAATAATTTCTTGACCAGGCACAGTGGCTCACACCTATAATCCTAGTACTGTGCTCCGGGAGGCCGAGGTAGATGGATTGCCCTGAGTTCACAGGTTCCAAACCAACCTGAGCAAGAGCAAGATCTCGTCTCTAAAAATAGTCGCATTGTGGTGGGTGCCTGTAGTCCCAGCTACTCAGGAGACTGAGGCAAGAGACTCACTTGAGCCCAAGAGTTTGAGGTTGCCGTGAGCTGTGACATCTTAGAACTCTACTGAGGGTGACAAAATGAGACTCTGTCTCAAAAAATAAAAAAATTTAAGCCTGAGCAAAGAGTGAGACCCCTCCCCCTCATCTCTACTAAAAGTAGAAAAATTAGCCAGGTATGGTAATACAGGCCTATAGTCCCCGCTACTCAGGAAATTGAGACAGGAGGATTGTTTGAGCCCAGGAATTTGAGGTTGCAATAAGCTATGATGATGCCACTGCCCTCTAGCCTGGACAATAGAGCAAGACCCTGTCTCACACACAAAAAAGAAATAATCTTTCTTCGTTTTCTCTTCTCCATCACCACCAATATTTCACCCTCTTTATAAAGACTGTTTCTTAGAATATTGAGTAAACACTCTCTTATTCTGGGAAGCCAAACTCTGGTGCTATTTATATTTTGTTCATAGAGTAATTTTCTTTTTTTTTTTTTTCAAGATAGAATCTCACTTTGTCACCCTCAGTAGAATGCCATGGTGTCATAGCTCACAGCAACCTCAGACTCCTGGGCTCAAGCGATTCTCTTGCCTCAGCCTCCCAAGTAAGCTGAGACTGCAGGTGCCCACCACAACACCCAGCTATTTTTAGAGGTAAGGTCTCACGCTGGCTCAGGCTGGTCTAGAACTCTTGAGCTCAGACAATCCACCTGCCTCAGCCTCCCAGAGTGCTAGGATTACAGGCATGAGCCACTGCACCTGGCCCCAATAATTTTCTTTTAATGTAAGACAAGTGACATGTTAGGATTACATTCTATGAAAATATTTCTCGAAGATTTGACCTCATGTTATATCTATTTATGAAATCTAGGAATCCTTTGGGGGAGTGAAATGCAGTGATTTAAAATAAAACAAAAAAAGCCAACATAAGTTGAACTAAAGTTAATCACTTTCCAATTAATTTAATTCTAGTTGGGCACACTGGTTCATGCATGTGATACTTAAATAGGAAAAAGCTTACTGGCCAACTGTGGAAGGAAGACTGTATTTTAAGTTTATTTAGAGCAATGACTGCATTTGATCTGTCAGTAAACTGTATCCTAGAATGAGGAGGATTTTTCAGTCCTGCTCGTAGCTTTCTGAGCCTGGAACAATCTTTGTCTATTCTGGTCCTCTGCCCCCATCCTTTTGAAGGCAGCTGCCTCCCTTATGTGAGTGAGGCAATGCCTTAGACAGATGTCCCTCAGCGTGCCATCCTGCTCTCAGTCTTTGATGTACTGTCCCTGAGAACATGGCATCAGGAAGTCTAATAGAAAGTTGCCAGTTGGAGAAAGACCGTGTGGCTGGATTTTCTCAGAATTCTAATCTACCAAACCAGCCCATACACATCCATTGAAATGGCATAACTTTTTCTCTTGATTTCTCCTTATTTTTCTCTAGGGGTTTCTTTTTTGCTGCTTCATCATCATCAAAAGTCAGCATGTAGGAGACAAAAATTTCCTGTCTTCTGTTGAATAGCTTGTCACTTGCTAGAGATTAATTCATTTAAATTCTTTGTATTCTCAGCAATCTAATAGTTAAATCAAAAAGAGACACCCCCCCCAAAAAAAACCCAAATGCTGACTTTTTAGTTTATCCAATTAGTTGTGGTTGTTGGAGTAATAACAGTAGTAACTCTTCTGGCTTTAAGAAGAGTTGAGAAGGGCACTCCTTAATTTTGAATTATAAAAAGCATAGCAAGATTTTCATGTACCTGAAAGGCTTGTCAGCTTCTAGTATTGCTTTAGAGTGGGCAAATATATTTTTAGAGACAGAGTCTCATTTTGTCACCCTGGGTAGAGTGTGGTGGCGTCACAGTTCACAGCAACCTCAAACTCTTGGGCTCAAGGGATTCCCTTTTCTCAGCCTCCTGAGTAGCTGAGACTACAGGTGCTGGGCTCAAGACCGGTTATTTTTACATAGGGTCCTTCTCTTGCTCAGGCTGGTCTCAAAATCTGGAGCTCAGGGCAGCGCCTGTGGCTCAAAGGAGTAGGGCACTGGCTCCATATACTGGAGGTGGCGGGTTCAAACCCAGCCCCAGCCAAAAACTGCAAAAAAAAAAAAAAAAAAAAAAAAAAATGGAGCTCAGGCAATCCACCCACCTGGGCCTCCCAGAGTGCTGGAATTACAGACGTGAGCCACCGTGCTGGACTGGACTGGGCAAATCTATGGATTGGTTTTTCTCTAAGGAGCAATATATGTCAGCCTTTTTGTTCTTCCCCAAGATTTTATTCTCGTATTTTGAGAAGATCCTTCTATTTTTTTATTATGATCTGTTGGAGGTAAACTCTCAGATGCCAGACGTTCTATGTGCAGGTCTTGGGAAGGGGATTAGCAGAGGAGCCAAGTGTTTCACATATAGAGATGTTCAATAAACCACCCTGTTTTCAAGGCTTCACCACTACACATCTCACTCCTATCCTCCATTGTTTTGTTTTGTTTTGAGACAGAGTCTCACTTTGTTATCTTATGTCCAGCAGCCTCTCAAAGACCATATCGCTAGACAAGTCACATTTAAAGAGGAGTCCTTTTATTGAAGAGTTGGCCAGCAACTGCCTCCATGTCCCAACATGGGGTTTCTGAGAGCAGCGCCAAGTGCCTAAGGGATCAGGTTTTTAAGGCTTGGTCTGCATCCTGGTTGGCACACAGGCTGCCCAGGTGCACTCGGATAGGTTAGCAAGCCTTGTAGAGAAGCAGAATGTTGTGGTTAGTCATACATCTTTGTTTCAGTATTTTCTCCACCTGGTATTTCTTAAAGGTCAGTCCGGGGACAGTCGGTATTTCCCTGTTCATTTCTCAGGGGAGTTAGTCAAGCAAAAGTCAGTGAGTACTTTTCTATCTATCTTGGGAGTGAACCAGACTTACTCCATTTTGTTGAGGGCTTGCAGCCCAGAAATTGACTAGGAGTTAACTGGTATTTTTCTACCTTAGTCTAGGCCTAATAGTTGCCCTTGGTAGAGTCCCATGGCATCACAGCTCACAGCAACCTCACACTCCTGGGCTCAAGCTATTCTCTTGCCTTAGCCTCCCAAGTAGCTGAGACTACAGGCACCCACCACAATGCCTGGCTACCTTTTTAGAGACAGGATCTTGCTCTTGCTCAGGCTGGTCTCAAACCCATGAGCTCAGGCATTCCACCCACCTCAGCCTCCCAGAGTGCTAGGATTACAGGCATGAGCCACCATGCCCGGCCCCTATCCTCCATTGTATCTGATTTTTCAAAGGTTCTGTATGACATGCTGTGTTATCTTTCTTGATGTATTGACACTCTTCATGCATACTTTGGATGCTGCTTCTTCCACATTGGTTTATTATTGTTCTAAGACTTCTTTGACTTGCTCTCTGTATTCTAGAAATTCGTTGAAAGTTCTCAGGAGTTTTGTACCAGAAGATCATTATCAGGGTATTTCCTAAGGAACTAGAGAGTTAGAGCTGAATCCTAAGGGGTCTGAATCCCGATCCAATCCATCTGTCATTAACCTTACTTGTACTTTATTTCATTTCCTCTTATTTCCATATATTTTGAATTTTTTAAAACTCATTACTGACTTGAAGCTTATATTTTGAGGCTTTGCTGCAGATATTCCTGAAGAATTATCCACAGTGCTACCCTGCAAAGATGGTTCAGCTGACAGCTACCCCTGTGATTGCCCTTGTTGATGAGCCAGTGCATATCCGAGCTACAGGCCTGACCCCCTTTCAGATAGTGACTCTTCATGCATCACTGAAAGATGAAAAGGGGAACATGTTTTATTCTCGAGCCTACTATAGGGCCAATGAAGTTGGTGAAGTGGACCTAGAACGCGATTCTTCCCTAGGAGGGGATTATACGGGCGTCCATCCCATGGGCCTCATCTGGTCCCTGAAACCTGAAAAGTTGTTAACTAGACTATTGAAAACAGATGTGATGAATAGCCCCTTTCAGGTCCAAGTAAAACTTCATGAATTAGATTTCCTACTGAACAATAAACCTATAAGTGCTCCAAAGGCAAGCCTGACTTTGGAGAGGTGGTACGTGGCACCTGGTGTCACACGGATCCGGGTCCGAGAAGGCCGCCTTCGAGGAGCCCTCTTTCTCCCTCCAGGTGAGTAGAATTACTCTGCTTACTGTTATTCTTGTTTTTCCTCCTTTGAATGCATGATTCCTCTGGAAATTTAGCTTGAATATCAATAATACACAAAGCACTCTTTTCTTGCCTTAGAAATAGCACTGACTTTGGGTAATGTGGTAATTTTCTACAGCAACTCAAATTTCACCTCAGCAATTCTGGAGCTTTTCTAAGGCTATGACTATGTACAGCTTGTGGAGTCCCTGCATTATGGTTTACGTAGCTTTTGATGTAGGCTAAGTTCATCTGTATGGAAGCTTGGCTATCTGAAGACCTTTAACTTGATATTATGGAAACCATATCCCAGCTCCTTTTAGGGGCCTCTGCCATGTTAAGTTTCAGTTTAAGGGTCACCTGGGGGCCACAACAAACTGGAGATAGGATAGACTAAACATTGCCACCAATATAGAGGATGCCAAGAAACTTTATAACATCTACTTTCACAAATACTGTATGTTCATATACAATTCCATAGATCAAATAATAAAGCATGCTCCCTAATGTCCATAAAATGTATCAGAACACTCAGTATGATTACAGTAATCTCATACCAATAAGTGGTTTAAAACATCTGTTAGTACACTTCTCAGAGTTTACTGTGGGGCTGAATAAAGCAATTTCCTAGATGACGTCAGCAGGCCCAAGTGTCAGGTTAAATGTTCTTCCTATTCCTTATCGAAATTATATTTTAAGCCAATAAATATCCAATATTTTATTTCTTTTAATAAGGTAAAATAATGATAGCAACTTTAAAAAAATTCCCACTTCCTTAAATTAAGCCACTCTTTTCAAACGTGGATAGGAGCAGTCTTTCTTAGCTAAGATCACTTATAAGAGAATAGAATACTCCCAAATAGTGCATTATAAATTCCTTTCAGTGTATGGCCTCTAGTTTATTGTGGGAAAACCTTGGATTCACAGAGAGTGAGTGTAGAGCAGGCATTCTCAAACTACGGCCCGAGGGCCACATGCAGCCCACCTAGGACATTTATCCGACCCGGTGGGTGTTTTTGCTGCCGCTGCCTGTCCTGCTTAGCAGCCGACTTGTCCTGAGGCCTGCAGCCCAGCCCTCCAATAGTCTGAGGGACAGTGAACTGGCCCCCTGTTTAAAAAGTTTGAAGACCCCTGGTGTAGAGTGATACTCAGACCATCCCTACCTTTTACTGTGTGTTAGGATCCAGGGTATGAATGCAGCATTATTGAATGAAAGGGTTCATCATTTACACCTGCTTAGATATGAGATTTCATCGCTGCATAGTCTAACAGAGCAGTGTTAAGTCAAGATTTTTGCTAAATATTAATAATCATTTTTAAAAAATTTAGCTATATACTTCATTGAGATTCCAATTAAATCTGTGGAATTTCTCCTAAGTAAAACGCACATATAAACATTGGTACCATACCTTGCATATGGTGTAATTTTGGATTTTTACAGATTTCCTAAAGCCTGTTTGTGCACCTCTTTAGAAGTTAAGAATCTCTGGTCTGGTTTCTATGACTTTCTTTACACCAAGAGTATGGAAATGAACCACCACGAGTTCCCATTCTCCTTGGATGCAGAATTAAACATGTCAGTGAACACAATTCCCAGTCAAACTTCTAGATGTCGTGTTCCATTATATACTCAATAGTCCTTAATTCTACCCCATTACAAGCCTGGAAACTTCGAAGTTCCTTTTTAAAATTCATATATTTCCAAATTTGTGTATTCTTCTTTTTCCATCCTCATCTTCCTACCTAATTCTGTTTTGTTTGTCCTTTTTCAGGAGAGGGACGTTTCCCGGGGGTGATTGACTTGTTTGGTGGTATAGGTGGGCTGCTTGAATTTCGGGCGGGTCTCTTAGCCAGTCGTGGCTTTGTCTCCTTGGCCTTGGCTTATTGTGACTATGACGATCTGCCACCTCAACCAGAGATAACAGATTTGGAGTATTTTGAGGAAGCTGCCAACTTTCTCCTGAGACACCCTAAGGTAATTAATCTTTGCCTTTCTAGTAAGTTTAAGCTCATTTTAGAATAATTTTTAGGGGTGGTGCCTGTGCCTCAATGGGTAGAGCTCCGGCCCCATATACCAAGGGTGGTGGGTTCGAACCCGGCCCTGGCCGAACTGCAACAAAAACATAAAATAGCCGGGTGTTGTGGCGGGTGCCTGTAGTTCCAGCTACTCTGGAGGCTGAGGCAAGAGAATTGCCTAAGCCCAGGAGTTGGAGGTTGCTGTGAGCTGTGATGCCTTGCACTCTACCAAGGATGATAAAGTGAGACTGTCTCTACAAAAAAATAAATAAAATAAAATAATTTTTAATAATAATTTTGTGACTTAACTTTGAAGTATGTTTCTGGCCAGGCACAGTGACTCATTTCTGTAATCCCAGCACTTGGGAGGCCAACATGGGTGGATTGCCTGAGTTCAGGAGTTGGAGATCAGCCTGAGCCAGAGTGAGACACTGTCTCTAAATACAGCTGAGTGATGTGATGGGCGCCTGTAGTCCCAGCTACTTGGGAGGCTGAGGCAAGAGAATCACTTAGGGCCAAGAGTTGGAGGTTGCTGCAAGCTGTGAAGCCATGGCACCCTACCGAGGGTGACATAGTGAGATTCCATCTCAAAAAAAAAAAAAAAAAAAATTAAAAAGGCAGAATTTCACAGCTGGGAAAGATCTTTTAAGTGATTTAAACCACCCAGATAATATTCAGGATAGAAAACAGAGTATATATGACTCATTTCATTTGTTCCCTTACCCTAGAAGTTTTTCATATTTCTGTCTGCTTGGCATAAGTCATACATGCATTCATGTTTTTCTAAATAACAAGGGAAAAAAATCTCAGACATTATTTTATAAATTGCCTTGAAAATCTATGAGATTGATTAAGATAATACAGGAAATCAATTATGGTTTATAAAAGAGATGTTTCTGAAACTCTGATCTTGCAAAGTGCAAGTGCTGGAGGAGAATCAGAACTTTATTTTATGGCACAAAGAACCCTCCCCTTTAACTCCTTTTCATTTCAGTCCTATACCAAATTGGTGATTGGGAGCTGTATACTCTGCATTCAAAAATAACTCACGAACATGTCGTTTTCTTTTCATCCTCACTGATATTATTTTAATGCAGGACACCATCATTTCCTGTCTGCACTATACCATTGCAATAAGCTCTGCTTTTATGTATTAATTTATTTTTGAGACAGAGTCTCACTCTGTTACTCTAGGCCAGAGAGCCATAGCACCAGCCTATGGCTCACAGCAACCTCAAACTCTTAGGCTCAAGTGATCCTCCGACAGGCTCCTGCCCCAAGGCCTGGCTAATTTTTCTATTTTTAGTATAGACGGGGTCTCCTTCTTGCTCACCCTTTCTCCACTAAAAATAGAAAAAGTAGAGCTCAAGTGATCCTCCCACCTCAGCCTCCCGGGATAGGATTACAGACATAAAAGCCAGTGCGTCTGGCCCCTGCCTCCAATTTTGCAAGTCAGTTGTGAGACTGGCCTTTCTAGAGTTCAGCTATTTTACTTACTTGCTGAATAGTCACCCTATTTACTATAGGATAAAGGCCAGGCTTCCTAACATGTTAGGAAAAAACTTCCTATGATTTGACTCCTGCATACTTCAGCCTTATCTTATGCCCATCTGTAAAATTTGTCCGAATTCCCCTCTTTCCTTAGGAGAAAAGAGTGGAGGCTATTTAGCATGTCTTTGAAAGCTATTCCCTATCTGGTTGCTATTTTCTTCTACAGCCTTATTTTGCTGTTTCCCTCCTTACAGTCTAAATTCAACTAATGAAGAGCTACCTGTGGTTCCCCAAATGTATTTCTGTTTGATGCCTTTGAATTTGTGTGTGTGTTCCTGCCATGGTGAATCCATGGAGGAATCCATGCAAAAATGTAGCCATTTCCTAGAAAAGCAGATGATGGTGGCTTAAACAACCATCATATAAGGCATTTTATTCTCTCATATAACAGCTGATGGTGGCTTAAACAACCATATGAGGCATTTTATTCTCTCATGTAACAGTCTGGAGATAGGTAGTTCAGGCTTTGGTTCAGAAACTTAGTGGAGATTTTAGTCAAGGAAACTAGGTCGATATTTCTGCAATTTTCTAGCCTTATCCTAAAAGTCACAAGATAGCTCTGGCAGTTTTAGACATTAAGTTAACATCTCAGCAGCCTAACCTGGAAAGAATGGTCAGAAAAACAGGTTTTCACCTGGTATGGTGGCTCACACCTGTAATCCTAGCACTCTTGGACACCAAGGCAGGAGGATCCCCTAAGCTCAGGAGTTCAAGACCAACTTGAACAAGAGCAAGACCTTGTCTCTACTAAAAATAAGCCAGGTGATGTGGTGGGCACCTGTAGTCTCAGCTACTTGGGAGGCTAAGGCAGGAAAACTGCTCAGACCTAGGAGTTTCGAGTTGCTATGAGCTGAGGCCATGGCACTCTAGCCTAGCAACAGAGCAAGATTTTGTCTCAGAAATAAATAGACAAACAAAAAGAAACACAGGCTTTCTCTTAATGATTCTATGTCATTCTACATGGGGAAAAAAGTCCTTAGGTAGACTATGTTGGCCTTATAAGAGAGGCTGAAGAAATATATAGGAAAGGCAAGTGGATTCAGGATCATCAAAATTTGTTCCTTGGGCAGGATACATGGCTGTACCATATAAAACCAAGGTCACATTAGCATTGACATTGTGGAGAATGGCTCTCCTGTGGACAACTGACCCTGCTACAAACACATAGCATCCCATTTCTTTTTGTTGGCTTTCATTTTTTAATAAGAAGGCTCATTTCATAGCCCATTTCCTCCGAGAGTCTCTCTTTGATCCTCCCGTTATTCTCTGCTAATCTAGGCTGGCAGTCTTGCATATATGCATTCTGACATAATAGAATTTATGATACTCTCAATCATCTGTGTGGGGTTTTTTCCCCCTCTTTTCTCTTCATCTTGCAATGAGTTCCTTGAGGATAAGAAATGGTGCCTGTATATGCTGTGACTCCTGTCCCCTGTCTTCCATCCCCTACCTGGTTGGCATAGGGTGGATGATCTAAAAATGTTTATTTGATGACTGACAATGAAAGAGGAAGCTGAGCCAAGCCTACTTTATTCAATCTTTTCTCTCAAAGGAGAAACCTTTTGGAGAAACTAAAGTAAGTCTAGAGTTCTCTGTTCCTCTTTCCGTGCTCTGTCCTACGAATCTCACTTTCTTTCTCAGTCTTTTCCAATAAGGTCTCTTTCCTCTGAACTTCTAGGGAGCTTAAAGACAAAGTTCATCAATTAGTTATAGCCTAACTCACATTATTCACAATGGTCACATGCCTTTTCTTACTTTCCCTAGTACACTGGTGTTCTTAAGCTCAGAGCTTTACACAATACTGAATCCACAGTATTCAGTCAGTGAATCTTGGCACATCTCTACAGTAGTTACTTTAAATACATGTTACATATTCTAGAACTCCAGAGCTAAGTGTGTGAGTAAAATTAATACTTGCTTGGTTCCCATTGGTTATTGCAGTTTGTTTGTTCTTTGAGATTGTGGAGTTTTCCTAAATGAGAGATGAAATAACATCTCACTTCTATTATTTTTTCAGGTCCATGGCCCAGGGATTGGGGTAGTCTCTACCTGCAAAGGAGCTGAGATTGGACTCTCTATGGGTATTCACCTAAAACAAATCACAGCCACCGTACTTATTAATGGAACCCCCTTTGTTTTTGAAGTTCCACAGGTTTATCGTGGTCAGATTTATCCACCTGTTCCCCCCTCTATACAATTAGTAGCTATCAATACCTTGGGGTTAACAGAGTTCTATCGCATGTTTGAGGAAACTCAAATTATAGCCAGTCAGAGTTTTCTTCCCATTGAAAAAGCCCATGGACATTTCCTCTTCATTGTAGGAGAAGCAGATAAGAATGTCAACAGCAAAAGGCATGCGGAGCTAGCCACAGACCGGCTGAGGAGGAACGGGAAGAGCAACTGGACCTTGCTATCTTACCCTGGGGCAGGCCACCTGATAGAGCCTCCTTACTCTCCGCTGTGCCCTGCCTCAGGGCTCAGGGCCTTGTCCTCATCCGTACACTGGGGAGGAGAGGTGATCCCACACGCAGCCGCACAGGAGCATTCTTGGAAGGAGATCCAGAAATTTCTCAGGAAGCATCTCATTTCAACTGTAACCAGTCAACTCTGAGAAGACTAGAATCCTAAGAAATAGAGAAGTTAAGCTCTTTACCAGCACCTCTTGATTTTCGTGGAAGAATGTGGGGTGGGTTTTTTTTTTCCTCTCACATTTAGTGTTAATTTGAATGGTAAAACTGGCACAAGGGTAAAAACTTGATAGCTTACTTATACCACAGAGCAAGCTAATTAAATTGGACATGGGGAATAAATTTAAAAAATAATTTTACTTCGTATGTCCATGACTTTTATTCTGATTAGGCCTTTCAAATAGGACTGAGATATAGCACATTGGCAAAAATTTGGAAAGGCAAATAGGAATAGTGCCAAAGTAACAGATACCACAAAAATATCATGTCAGCAAAGCCTCATATAGTAACCCATTGTCAGATTAGAGCAGCAGAAGAAAGTTCCTTCTGAATCATAATCATTTTAGCCGTATCTGCCAACTTCACCATGGTAACTTTACAACATCATTCCTCATTTGTGCAGTAGTAAAATTCCATCAGAAGGGAAAGGGTGGATTGAGGAAGTCAATTCATTCCAACAAATTACCTCTTGAATTCTAACAAGTGAACGCATCAGCACAAAGTTAAGAAATAATACCCAAAGCTAGAAGATAATTGGTTTAAGTTATGCAGCAAATTAAAATGAGAAGTACTAGAAAATAGAACCAATGGAGTTCCCAAATCTTCTCATTCATTTAAAAAATTAAATTAAATGTAAAAATAGGAGCAAAACTCTACCAATGCATACTAGTCTGAATGGGTTGATGGACAGGATAATTGGGTCAGCTGGCACCGTACTCAATAAATGGATTTTCTTCTTTCATGTTTTGGGAGTTTTTTGTTTTTGTTTTTTTGGGATAGAGTCTTACTCTGTCACCCTGGGCAGAGTGCTGTCCTGTAGTACTCTATAGTCTACACAGTAACCTCAAACTCCTGGCTCAACCAATCCTTTTGCCTCAGCCTCTTGAATAGCTGGGACAATATGTGCCTGCCACCATGCCGAGTTAATATTTTTCTTTTCTTTTTTCTTCTCTCTCTCTCTTTTTTTTTTTTTTTTTTTGAGACAGTCTTTACTCTGTTACCCTGGGTAGAGTGCCATGGCCTCATACCTCACAGCAATCTCAAACTCCTGGGTTCAAGTGATCCTCTTGCCTCAGCCTCCTGAGTAGCTGGGACTACAAGCTTCAGCCACAACACCCAGCTAGGTTTTAGGTACTGGGTCTCACTTTTGCTCAGGCTGGTCTCAAATGCCTAACCTCAAGCAGGCCATCCACCTTGGCCTCCCAGAGTGCTAGGATTACAGGGCATGAACCACCCCTTCTGGCCTTCATTTATGTTAAAAGTAGCGCACAAACATAAGCTCTATAAAAGCAGGTACTATATTTTCACAGGACTCAAATAGCTACTATATATCCTATAAGTAAAAAAAATTTACTTTGAATATGTGGATACTCCACGTAATCTAACCACATGGTTGTTTGCTATACAGTCCTATCAAAATACTAAAAAGTTATCTTTGTTATAAGGCTTTGACCCTACAGTTTTCATAGCAATATAACTACAATTCAGCATGTACCATATTTTGCAAGGCTTCAAGTTCAGCAATCCAAATTATCAATTCATGCTATGTTCAAATGCAGCAACCTCAAGGAGCAAAGTTAATGAGATAGAGACATACAACCATCTCTTGATTCATTCCATTAAGATGGATGATCATTCTGATCATCTCCATCACCCAGCTCCCCAATCAGCGTCTACTTTGTTCTCAGATTCTTCATCTCAAGAGAATTCTGCATCCTGACCCTGCTGTGCAGCCTCTTGCCCTTCACAGTCTGCACAGACATCATAGTGTTCAAATCCATCCCAACACTGGCTGCTAACAGAAGTCCTTCTTACACATCGCACATTTACATTATTTATCCTTTTTATAGACCAGGGAATGCTTCTACATGTTTTCTTTTAGTAAACAGCTTTCTACAAATATCACAGCTAAATAATCGCACTGCCACATAAACAAGTACCTTTTTAGTATTTGTCTACCTCACTACAGTGAGGGCATTTGGATAGAGCTGATACACCATTTTCTCAAGTTTCTTATTTTGGCCAAGATTCCAGCAATACTCCGTACCTGAAATCATTTGAAGGACATGGTATCAATCCATACTTGGAATAATTTGAAGTACCTGGTATTAATTCATACTGGAAATCACTTGAAGGACCAGGCATCAAACCATACTTTAAATCACGTGAAGTAGCAGCATCACCTCCATCTGGACCAGAGCTGGCTTCAGCCAGTAACTGAATTCACATTCCTATGACCACAGGGCCCTGAGAGGAGAGTGTCATCCAAATTTCATTCTTCCTTGATGAGTAGTATATTTCTTCCAGATAGGCAACAGGTAGCTGCATCACTGAGCAATATTCTAAATTATTTTCATTATTATGTGGTATATTATAAATGAAGGTTTTTCCTCCTTGTTTTGCCAGTCTCTTGAATTCCCTGGGAGCATTTTTGTATGATCTTTGGATTCATTTTCAGCCGTTTTAGGAGATCTATGCTGGAAACAACTATGGTCATTCATTTGGCGCTCATCAATTGGAATCATCATTTTCAATTTTTACATAAATAGGCAAATCAGTAAGATTTCATGTTGCCCCCAAACTGGCAATTTTTTGATCCCATGATGAAGACAGATCATCTCTATTAACTGGTTTTCTATTATAGTTTACAACTACAGACGTTGGAGCTTCTGATTTAATGCTTGTATTTTAGGTATCTTAATGAAATTTCAGCAACTTTAAATAACTTCACTCATTGGAAGATAGCTGGCCACTGTCATCACTTCACTGGCATTTTGGCTTTTGAGTATCAGGGTACCAGAATACAAGAAGTCCAATATGACTAAAAAACTTTGGACTGCAGGAATATCTAAATGGATAGTATTTTTCTGGTTCGGGTTTTCTTTTGTGCAGTTTGTGGTCTATAGACAGAACAGACCAAGCATGTGGCTAAGCAACCACTTAATAAGGAAATTAGTACAGCTAGGTAGAAGCCAGGTGCTAGTCATCAAGACAGTGGACGAACGACCCAAAGCATTTCACGGTTTGTGCTTCCCCTCCCATTACAGGCTCAGAGTGCCAAGACCTGGGGATAGAATTATGTCAAAAGAGGGGTCAAGGGCTCCTGTGGGATCTTGGTGCCGGGTCACTCAAGTCTTCACTCCCCACATTCCCAGGCAGTGCTTTTCAGCTGCCCCCAGGAAGGCGCAGGTGCAGTAGTTTGGGCCCCTCCTTTGGAAGGCACAGATGGTAAACCTTGGCAGTGTTTATGCAGTGCCGTCTTCATCATGGTGCAGAGCGCATGAGCTGTGAGGGTATAGCTGCCTCCACCTAGATTTCAAAGGATGCCTTGGAGAGCCTGGGAGTGCAGGCAGAGAACTACTGCAGGGGCAAATCTCTCTCTGTCTAAACATAAAATGTCCATTTTACTTTGTTTTCCAGAACTCCAAACAAAAGCATCCTCGGAGGCTTCCCGTTTCTGATAATCCATTCCCTCCTTTAGTTAAGGTGTAGAGTCCTCAGACTTTTCCCAGAACAGCGAGCCCCAGGGCCTTGCCTCAGTGTAATAAGACTTCAGGGGAAGAATAAAGTGATTACGGAGGATGTAAATTCATTGAGAGGTATTAATAAAGATTATCCATGCCTTATAAGTAATATGTCAGAGAGTGCCCTGGTATGGCAAAAATAGAAAAGTATTACTATACTGAATTCCTAAAATTTTATGTTGCCTTGGCATCTGTTTTGAATATAAGTTGAACTTTCCCACATCAGAAGCAGGGTTTAGTCAGCACACAGTTTATGATTCTCTGCCTCATCCCAGTTTTTCAACATGATTGATCCAGATACCTGCCTTATACAACTGCCACCTGGGACAGCTAGACACATCACACGTGACGGCCCTCTGATCCCCACACTCCACACACATCCTGGGCAGATGTCCATGGGGCCTGTCTCTCAGCCACAGCTGTCTCTTGCTCCCCACCTTCTGGTTGGGTGCGTGTCCCAGATAGCTCCCCTCTTCCTGTTGGCCCTCTGAGATCTGCAATCCTCCTGTCCCTGGGATTTGCAAGTAACACACTGCTGCTGCTGCATTTTTTTTTTTTAGGGTCTCATCTGTAACCCAGGCTGGAGTGTAGTAGGGCAATCATAGCTCCCTGCAGTCTCAAATTCCTGGGTTCAAGTGATCCTCCTGCCTCAGCCTCCAGAGAAACTGGGACCTGGGACTACAGGTGCCCACACCTGTCTAATTTTCCTTTCTTCCTTTTTCTTTTTCTATTTTTTTTTTTTTTTTTGAAGCAGAGTTTCACTATGTAGAGACTTAATAGAGTGCTGTGGAGTCATAGCTCACACCAACTTCAAACTCTTGAGCTTAAGCAATTCTCTTGCCTCAGCCTCCCAAGTAGCTGAGACTACAAATGCACTTGCCACAACACCTGGCCATTTTTTTGTTGTAGTTGTTATTGTTGTTTAGCTGGCCTGGGCCAGGTTCCAACCTGCCAGCCCTGGTGTATGTGGTTGGTGCCCTAACCACTGAGCAACAGGGCACCGAGCCTTTTTGTTTTTCTTTCTTTCTTTTTTTTTTGGTAAAGATGGGAGTCTTGTTATATTTTTGTAGGCTGGTCTTGAATTCCTGGCCTCAAGCAATCCTCTCACCTTGGCTTCCCAAAGTGCTGGGATTATAGATGAGCCACTGTATTTGGGCATGATTCTGGGTTTTTTTTTTTTTTTAATGTGTTTTACTATTGTTAGGGTGTGAGCTAGTGCATGTGCGTTTGAGAAAAATTACTCCAGATAAAGATAGGATAGAAGCTATAAAATGTATTTAATCTTTTTAGAAGCAAAGAGAGTGGGAGAAGAGAGGGATCAAAAAAGACCAGGGAGAAAGCCCCGCATCCCAAAGGAAGAGAAGGGAAAAGCCAGTAGCTGAGGCCAGGTGGCTAGCTATATTAAAGGGGATGTAGAGTGGCAGGGGACAGTTGAGAAACTGCTGTGTCTGCTCCTCTCTCTCTCGGGGGCAGGTAGATTATGAATGCAAACTGGGCCAGATGTCAAAGTCCACAAGTTGGCCCCTCTGCCTTTCTTTGGAGATGAGAGTATCAGATTATTGCTGATGTGCAGAGTGTGCCCTCAAGATACTGTTGAAGCGTGAAGTTCCTTCTCTGGCTCTTTACTCAGGAACTCTGTAAAACAAACAAAAAATAGATTCTTAGAAACAATTTTGAAAAAGAAATATTTCTCTGTTCAGCTTTCTTAGAAATTGTGCAAACAGGGGGGCAGAGGCAAGATGGCGGACTGCAGCCAGCTTTCTACAGAGGCTCCTGTCCAGAAGGAGACTTAAGGACAGAAGTTTAGCAAGTAAGCCTATGGTTTGGAGCTGAGCCAAGGGAGATTGAAGAGAGCATGTCATCCTTGCTGAGTTGAACTGCAACTCCCAAAAGACAATCAAAAGGTACAAAATCCACCACCAAGCGGACGGGAGTCCCCTCCCCCACAAGAAGGGCTCACAGTTTACTCCATATGAACAAGTGAGCAGAGTTCAAACATCTTCCCACTCTATCCCACGGGAGAGATCCCCCCTAAACACTGGACCTCCTACCCTTACTGGGGTGCCACAGCACTCTCCTGTAAGGCATAAAACTGTAAAACTGTATAAAACTGTATATATTCTCTACCTGCAACTCTGAACTCACAGGATCCCCCCCCCCCTCTCACCCCAATGTCTGGAGGTTTGTCACCCATGGAGTCCAGATTCTTGGGTATTTT